CTAGTAGCAGTATTTTATAAACAACAGATCCTACTCCTAGGATCTACCTCTACCCTGGCACCTCCAAGAGTCACGAAGTCGGGGACTTGCGGCGTGGCACGACCTGCACCCACATGCAGAAGAGGACCTCCTCATCACCTCCCTGTTCACAGGGCTCTGCTCTCCCTCCCCCTGGGGACTCTGAGCAGCCGCCCGATGCAACTCCCTTCTTGGTTTTGCAAGTGTGAGCACCTTAGCAGCAAGTTAAACTCGTGTCAAGATACACAGAAAATGCTGGGCTGTTCAGTGCAAGGGTATTGTCTCCTGAACTCTATTTATGCACCAGGCATCATCATATGGCAAATTAAAGTGGTTAATAGTCAGAAGTAGGATCTCGTAAATTACTTTATTATGCTAACATCATAAGGCAGCTGTTCAGATGAAATTTCAGAAAAGGTATTTTCACATAAGACTGTCACTTCCACTTTGCTTAAGAGAGAGTGAATTAAACGCTCTTTGTTCTTTGCATCTTCCACTCTGATTCTCGCAGTCAATAATTACTTATTTTAAGGAAAGCACTCCAAAGCAATTATGAATAGGAAAAATGCTCATACATCTGCCAGAGCACTAGCAAGCAGATAGGATTTCTGAACATTTCCAGTTGAAATAGTTTGAGGGGTAGAGCTCCTGTCACAAGCCCGACTTCTTAAATTCGTGGCAATGAACAGGACAGTTTACTTTTCTTTGTTATATGACCAACTCAACACTTCAGACAGAACCACACACAAACTCTGGAATTACTTTACTACAGACCAAACCAGCAACAACTTGTTATCAGATCACTGCTAATATATTTATTTAAACCCAAGACTAAATGAAAGTTGAGTTATTCAGCCTGGATCCCAATGCAGCTCTTCGATTACCATATTAAAAAGCTGGGCTCTTTTTCACTTTCAGGTTCCTCCAGAAATTTGACATTGATAATGCATCTCCCAAAATACTTTTGGTCACAAACCAAAGACACTCCTGCTCCTCCTTTTAGCACAAAAAGAGGAAATAAGATTGTTTGCTGATCCTCTAAGAGGACTTTCAAAATGAGAAGTTCAAGGCCTGTCTTCTCAGCTAGACGTCCAGCAAGGCGATGGCATCACAAGAGTCAAAATGAAAGACGTACTTGAGAAAGAGATTTTTCATCAGTTCTCAGAATGCTTTTTTTGTTTTGCTTGTTGCCTTTTGATAGCAATCAGCTTTGAACCTGTGTCTTGAAATCACTCCAGACTTCTCCAAACACTCAAAACCAATTAGTTCTTTAACAAGGTTCAAGAGCTCACAAAGATTTCTGATACCCACAGAAATACTCTAGAAAAACTTGCAATCGTCAGAATAGTCCTGTCTAACATGAGAAGCGCGCTTTTTTTTGGCAGCCAAACAAATGTAAATAATGTAAAAAGCTTTATTGGTTAAACTACACTTTTCCAAGTTAGCTTAAAATTACAAGAAACAAGTTTGCAATGGATGAACTAAATTACTTTCTCATGTAGAAAAGGCTTTAGAGCAAGAAATTTCCCCTTCAAATATTTTTTCAGGTTCTCTACACATAAAAAACAACAAAAAAAGGAAACTGCCCTAATGCAAGATCACTTCATTAATCCTATTAAACCAAACATACAAAATACATCAGGACCACCTTGCTCTCCATCTTCTCCCCTTCAGAGATGCTTTTTTGGGTATATCCTTTCAGGTTTGCTCCATATCCAGCAACAATCCACCTTCCACTTATTCCCTTTTATGTCAAGACTTCTGCATCTCCACAGTAACTTTTCTATTTCTGAGGATCCTTTATGATTTCTGTGTTTCACCCAAGCTTGCTCTTCCCAGGTAAGATCACCAATTTTATCTCACACTGTTTTTC